TGTGATAGAGCCACATCGATTGGTTGCCTCCCACATGACCCGACCAGGGGTGAGGACGAACTGCAACCGAGGTAGGTGCCCTTGACTGAAATTGAGCCCAAGACTCATTGGTTCGTGGGCCGAAGCTCTAACTGCTGAGCCAAACCGGCCACGGCTATATGTACATTTTTAATGGTATATCTTTCAAAAACATTTGGTAAGAAAATATGTATGTATGTATGTGTGTGTGTATATATTATATATGTAATTTTAATTAACAAATATTTTAAGTACAGCATTGAGAGGACTATAAAGATTAAAATTTTTGGTTATCACAAATAATGCTGCAATAAATGTTCTTAATCATGTCTCATTATATACATGTTCAGTAGTATTTCTAGGGTATGTATCTAGAAGCAGACTTGCTGGATTGTAGATTTTACTAGATCTCGCCAAACTGATCTCCAAGTGGCTGCATCAGCAGGGTATGACAGTTCGTGTTCTCCATCCTAGTGCTGACATTAGTGGACATCTACATGTTGCTAGTCTGACCAGTGTGAAATTAACATCTAAAAGTCTTAGACTGTGTTCCCTGATTATTGTTGGGAGACAATTTTCCAAGAGACTTTCATGCTTCTGAAACTCTTAACAGAGGCGATGCCAGACTTTGTTCTGAATTATCTTTACCAGGATGTTTGGATGGTGGCTGCCTTGGACAACCGAGGTAGTGCTCCCTTCCAGGGCAGAGGGCAGGTGTGCTTACTGTCCAGTGTAACAGACAGAGTGTTCTCCAGGGCAGGGGCTGGCAGGTCTGCTTGCAGCTCGTTACAAAAGGCTGGAGTTCTCTAAGCTCCGGATTCCTAAGCTCTGACACACTGAGTGTGCAGGATCTACCTGGGCTTCTCTGCATAGTGACTGGACTCAAGGGTAAATAAAGGACACAAACATGAACCTCATGCTGCTTGCTGTGCCGTTAATGAGTCTTTTGTCTCTGATCTGGGAGTCTGTGTCTTTTGCCAGCATCCATGAAACTATGTCAGGCTAACTTGTTAGCCAGCAAGTTGGGTATAATCTCAGACTATAGACAATTATTAGTGAGGCTGAACATCTCTTGTTTTAAAAAAAAAGTTTTTTTCTTTATTGATTTTAGAGCGAGAAGGCAGAGAGAGAGAGAAACATTGATAAGAGAGAATATCAAATGGCCGCCTCCTGCATATCCCCTACTGGGGATCTGGCCCACAACCTGGGCATGTACCCAGACGGGAATCGAACCAGCGACCTCTTGGTGCATGGCTCGACGTTAAACCACTGAGCCACACCAGCCGGGCTTCTCATTGTTTATTGGCTATTTGGCTCTTCCCATTTGTGAACTCGCTATTCGTATTTTGGAGTATATTTTTCTATTTGATTATCTTGCTTTAACTAGGTAGGTATTCTTAATATATTCTGAATAGTGATCTTAAGTAGGTTATTTTAAATATCTTCTCCCAGTCTGTACCTTGTATTTTTACTTTGGTTATCTTTCATTTAACAGAAGTTTATAACTTCAATGTAGTCATCATAATTTAAATTATGATTTGTACTTTTGTTTTCTGTGTTGTCTCTGCATTTGCCCAGGACTGAGCCCTAGTAAAGACAGCTGGAGGCAGGCTGAGGGCACTGAAGTCGGCTATGCCCACAAGGAAGCGCTGGCTGGGAGCTGGGCGGGGAGGGAGCCTGTGTCTGGGCACTGCATTCTGGAGCAGTCTTCGCCCTGCGAAGCTGGAAAGGGAAAAGAAGGGAGTGGTCTTGTTTCAAATACCACAGACACCTGTCTTCTTTCCAAATCTCCACAGATTTTTTTGACTCAATGTTTTTTGCTATTTGTCCTTAGGATCACTTGCTATTTGTCCTTAACACCATTTCCAGAAGCTTTAAATTGTTGTATTTTAAAAAATAATTTTCTCACCCTGGCAAGTTTGGCTCAACAGTTAGAGCGTCAGCCCTCAGACCAAAGGGTCTCAGGTTCTCTTCCCAGACAAGGGCATGTACCTGGGTTGCAGGTTCCATCCCCTGCCCTGTTGGGGTCGATCAATCGATGTCTCTCTCTCACATGGATGTTTCTCCCTCCCTCCCTCCCTCCCTTCCGCTCTATCTAAAAAATCAATGGAAAAGTATCCTCAGTTGAGGATTAAAAATAATAATAATAATAATAATTTTCACTAGTTTCACAGGGAAGCAGGTCAACTGAGCCTCCTACACTGTCCATGGGAGAAGTCAATCTCTGCCTTCATTATTTGGCTTTAAAATAACATCTTGATATTTAGAAAAACAAGTCCCTCTCTTATTCTTCTTCAAAGTGCCTTTGTTATTCTTGGTTCTTTGTTCTTCCATATACATTTTAGGACAAGCTTGTTAAAGTCCACAAAAAGCCTGCTGGGATTCTTATGAGAATTCTGAATTTGTAGTTCAGTTTGGGGAGAATCCATCATTATGATATTGAGTTTTCTCATTCAATAACATGGACTGTTTCTCCTATTGATGTCTTTTTAAAAAGTGTTCAAAAAGAGAGATACATCTGTAACAAAAATAAATTAATAAAAATTGGGAAAAAAGTGTTTAAAAGAGTAATGTAATTTTTTCTATGAAGGTTTTGCATATCTTTTTGTAGGATGAGTTCTAGGATTTTGTTGCTACTGTAAATAATACCTTTAAATTTTTTTCATTTTCTACCTTGTTATACTAATGTTTAAGAATATAATTTAAAAAAATTGATCTTGTCCCCTCAGCATCTTTTCTAAACACTGTTGTATTCGTTTTAATGATCTGACTGTAGAATCTTAGATTTCTACGTAGCTGCTTGTTTTGTTAGAGATTAACGATGATTTGTTTCTTTTTATCCATCTCACATGCCTTTTATTCTTTTGCTTTTCTTTCTGTGTAGTTTAGAATTTCAACACAATATTAAAGAGACATAGTTGTGGTAGGTATCCTTTTCTTGTTCCTGATTTTAAAGAAAATACTTCAAATATTCCATCTTTAATAATAATGTTTGTACTAGGTTTGGGATATATAGCTTCAGGCCACAGAATCTTCTTTCCATTCCTAGTTTATTTATTAAGAGTTTTATCATAAGCAGTGATATTAGCTAACATTTACTGAGTATATACCATAGAGTTAGACATTGTTTTAAGCACTTTACCTGGGTTAAATCATTATATGTTCATAAATATCTGAGGTTATTTTCCCTATTTCACATGAGTAATCAGGTACACTAAAGTTAAATGATCTGTCCAAGTTCAGTAGCAGAACTAAAATTTGAATCCAGAAGTTTCTCTAAAGAGCCCCACATCTTAATCACTTTTCCATATTGCTTCTTAGAATAAGTGTTGAATTTCTTCAAATGCCTTTTCTGCATTTGATTTGACTGTGTAGTTTTTCACATGATTTGCTAATGGGAAAAATTACATTAATACATTTTTTAAATGTTAAATCATCTTTGAATTCCTGGGACAAATTCAACTTGATCATCACATTTCTTTCTTTCTTTTTTTATCCTCACCCAAGGACTTTTTTGCATTTATCTTCAGATAGAGTGGGAGGGAGAAAGGGAGGAAGAGAGAGAGAAACATTGATGTGAGAGAGACACATTGAGTGGTTGCCATCCACACGACCCCAACTGGGGCCGGGGACAAACTGTAACCGAGGTGCGTGCCCTTAGTGGGAACCGAACCCAGGAGTCTCTGGTCCGCAGGCCATTGCTCTAACCGCTGAGCCAAACAGGCCAGGGCACATATCTTTCTTTTTAAAATATATTTTATTTAGGATTTTTGCATATATGTTCAAAAGTGAGACTGACTCACAGTTTTGTTTTGTTTTTTCCTGCTGGTTTTTGGTACCCAGGTTACATTACCTAAAAGTCATGAGTTGGGGCACGCACTGGAGGACGTTTCAGCCTTTGGTATCAGGCTGGTGCATTCCATAACAGTGAGCCCAGTAATTTAGACTCCTGGACAATCCAGTGCGGTCTTGACATCCAAGCAAATGTTGCGCAGTGGACAAAATTGTCCAGGGGCACCTGGGCTACTCACTGCTGAGTGGGATCTGGGATTGCCCAAATCAGAGAACAGCCTAATGCAGTCCCTTCCGAAAGGTCTGAAGGGAGTTGATCCTTCATCTGATTTAAATTTTGATGGCTGTCTTTTATTCAACAATATTCACATGCAAATAAAAAAAGTAAGAATACTTTTAGTAGTACTTTACTGTTTACAAAACTCTTCAATATCTTTTATCTCATTGGATTTACCTAGTAGCTCTCTGAAGCCCTGTTATTTCCATCTCACAGATTATCTGCTATTTTATAGATGATTTAAATGAAGATTATTTAACTAGGCTAATTAGTAGGAAAAATGAGTTAAAAAATAAAATGTATTTTTCTTCAATTACATCAAGAAAGTATTGCATGCAGGATTGATTCTAGCTCCTATAGTAACAGTGATTAGCTTTTTAGTTGTCATTGACAGTAAAAAGAATGAAACAATAAATTTTCAAAGGGGGTTTGAAGGAGACTTCATTTCTGTTGATAGTACTGAAATGCTCAATTTACCATGAATGTGCCCATAAGAATTTTAATATATCTTCAACTTTAGAGGTTATTAATCTTTTTAATTTAATTTTTTATTTTATTGATTTTTAGAGAAAGAGGGAAGGAGAGGGAGGGAGAGAGAGAGAAACAGTTATGTGAGAGCAAAATATTGACTGGTTGCCTCTTACATGCCCCCTACCAGGGACTGAGCCAGAAACTCAGGAATGTGTCTGACCAGGAACTGAATCAGTAATCTTTTGATGCACAGAACAATGCCCAACCAACTGAGCCATGCCACCGCCCTGCGGCCAGGCTAGTAATCTATTTTTTAAACAAAAAGTTACTGTAACTGCCAGTGGCCAGACATTTTTCTAAGCACATACAGGGTTAGAAAAAGTTGAGCAAAACATATAGAGAAAAGTTTCAAATAATTATTAATAGTTTAGAAACATCTTACCATAATGTAGAGCTGTTTGACCTTCATTGTCCTATAAAAGAAACAAATAATACATTTAGAAGTCTAAGTTATTGCAGGAGTGTGGAACTACACAAACTACAGCAAATATATCCAACACTACAAAGTTCCATAGGTTTACTGGATACAGAAAATGAAGAAGTCAGTTCTTTGAGCCTCACAGTAACTTCTGACAAAGCTCTTTAACTTGGAGAAAAGAAGAATGTTGAATAGTATAGTGGTTACTTGGAGTGGGGCAAGAGAGGAAGGGGATTACTGTGTAACGAGTACAGAATTTCAGTGTGGGATGGCAATAATGTTCTGGAGATGAACAGTGGTGATAGATGCATAACACTGTGAATGTACTCAATGCTAGTGACCTGCTTACTTAAAAATGGTTAAAAGGTTAATTTCACATTTTAAATATTTCACAACCATTTAGAAAAGAAAAAAGAAAAGTAAAAGGTGTCAAAAACTGCAAGTGGCAATGCTCTCCACTTCTTGGAGAAAAGCAGTCCACAGTAGGAGAGAAGTGAGAAGTACTGACAAAGAAAAAAACAGCGGCGAGATGGACTGAGTCTCTGGTTCTTGTCCTTCTGAATATATTCTTGCCTTTCTTGGTTAGGTGAGCCAACAAAAAAATATGCCCTAGATGAATGGGATCTTTTTTGTCACTTGCAAACAAAAGTCCTCACTAATACAGTATGCAAGGCAATTTACAACCCAAACTTAGACCATCTTCCCCCCACCGATTCCTTCTCCCAATTTTGTGACTGCCAATTACTAATCAGAATTCCTATCTGGATTTGCACATCTATAAATGCTCTTCAGTTTGCTGGAAAACTATCCTGCAATCTTTTAAAGATAGTGTCTTGTTCTTTTCTCTGTTTTAAAATTTGTCTTTGATATAGTTGAGCATTTTAAGTAGGCTTATTTTATAGTCCCTAATAGTCCCTATATTTCTTTGATTTGAGTTCAGGGAGAGGAGGCAGGGTGATGAGACACATGATGTTTGTTGTGTTGCCTGAGGTCTGCGTTTCGTCGACAGTGTCCTGCTTTATAATTTGGACTGCAAACTCACTTTAAGTGGGGTTTTATCCGTGAAAAAGTCTGTGCTGTGTTCCCTGGACTGAAGGTCTTTCCCTCCACATGACTTTGCTTTGTTTCCACCAGGCACCACAGGGGTTTTAGCACTCTGAGATCCTCCTGCGGATTTCTTAGCTTGGGGATCTTTGAACATGTAAGCAGTGTAAATTTAAAAAGGGCAAACCTCTCTCCCTTTCCACCTCCCACTACTGGGCTTGGAGCTCAGGCCAAGACAAACTGTCAAACTCTGTGTTGGTAGGCAGATTTTTTAGTGCGCTTTTTTCCTGGTGGTTGTTGGTGCTGAGATCTCTGCCCCATGGGTATTGAGACTGGCTAATCCTTTCAGGGCAGCCCAGTGTTGGTTTACACTTTCCTTTTAAAGCTCTGGGTTTAAAAAAAACTCTCTTTTACAACACGTACGACTCAGTTCACTTCTTTAGGAAACCTCCCGAGTCCTCAGGTGGGGTCAGGTGTCCCTCCTTTCTACCACTGTGTCTAGCATACTCTATACTTATCTGTCTCTTCTACCGAGGCTGTAAACGTCTTATGGGCAAGTACACGTCTTTTGTCCAGGGCCTCAAAGTGTCTTGCATACAGTGTGTGCTTTCATGAAATGAAAGAATGACTATATTAATTTTCCCCCATTGGTTTATTACTTAGTCTCTTGATTACCTTTTGTCTTTTATGTGAACTTTTTTTGGAGTCCCCACATATCTCCTATAGTGTGAGTATAACGCCAGCTGTAATAATCCAATGTGGGCCCTGGCCGGTTTGGCTCAGCGGTTAGAGCGTCGGCCTGCGGTCCTGAGAGACCCGGGTTCGGTTCCTGCTAAGGGCGCGTATCTCGGTTGCAGTTTGTCCCCGGCCCTGGTCGGTTGTGCGGGTGGCAGCCACTCGATGTGTTCCTTTCACATCGATGTTTCTCTCTCTCTCTCTGTTCCTCTCTCTCCCTCCCACTCTACCTGAACAAAAAATGGAAAAATGTCCTCGGGTGAGGATAAAAAAATAAAAATAAAAAATAATCCAACGTGGGCCTAGACAATGATGAACAGGAGACAGTTTACAGTTAACCAGGTGCAAAACCACTAATATTCGAGTTGACTTCTAGTCCTTTTTTCTTCTATATGTGCGCAGAACTAGTTGGTCCCTCTTGAGAGTCTCTGCCCACGTGCATTCTGCGCTACCTAACCCTTTCTTACTTTACTGTTTTTGATGATGTCCACATTTTATTAATAATTATTTCCTTAAGGACTCAGTTTTCTTCTATCTCCAGATTGGGCACCCTTATCAAATATAAGAATTTTATTTATTTTGCCCTGGCCGGTTTGGCTCAGCAGTTAGAGCATCGACTCATATACCAAAGAGTCTTGGGTTCGATTCCGGTCAAGGGCACGTACCTCAGTTGCAGTTTGATCCACAGCCCTGGTTGGGGTCATTCAGGAGGCAACCAATCGATGTGTCGCTCTCACATTGAAGTCCCCACCCCCCCACCCCCGTCTGAAAATCAATGGAAAAATATCCTCAGGTGAGGATTTAAAAAAAAAGTTTATTTTTTATTCTACTATATAATATGAAATATTGAATATTTTGCTCAGAACTGATACAGAGGAAATACTATTTTATCCTTTTAACATTACGCCACTGATAACACTGCTGTTTTCTGTGCATAACAAACACTGTAACCAAGTCCTGATTTTTTCCCCATTGCTAATTGCATTTTTAAAACAATTTTTTTCTTTTGATTAATTTTAGAGAGAGAGGAAGGAAGAGGGAGAGAGGGATAAAAACATCGATGAGAGAGAACACTGAATGGCCGCCTCCTGCATGCCACACACTGGGGATTTGGCCCACAACCTGGGCATGTGCCCTGATTGGGAATCGAACTGGTGACCTCTTGGTGCATGGATCAACTTAACCACTGAGCTGGGTACTAATTGCATTTTATCAAACTGAATCAAAAGTCAATTTCCAAGTCAAGATTTCATATATATGTTGCAGTCATGGAAATAACATGCTTCCTAGATGTTCTCTATGGACAGAAAATTCTGCTAAGTGTTACTGGATTTCTTTTCATGTGACCATCGTGATATTGATACTGTACTTTAGTTCAGACTTGATCTCCCATCTCTGCCAATGTTAGTTCTAAAATGCAGCAGTAAGGAAGCATGAAGCATTAAACGAGTAATAACAGAGCTACATCAGAGGGAATGAATTTTCCCAAGTGCCTAACAAGAGGTTTTGTTCTTATCCAGTAATTTAATATTAAATATAACTTTTATGTTATATAAGGTGGCACTAAAGAAAATTGGTTATGAGGTATTGGAAGTAATGATAAAAATGATGAGTTAGTAATATAACTTGGGGTAATTTCTAATATTATTTCTAAGCTTAGAATGTACTGCCTCTTTATCTATGAGATCCATGGCTCTAGAATAGAATATGATTAAACTAATTTAACAATTTAGAAGTTTGCAAATGTATTTTATGATTCTTTTTCTAAGAAATTTTCTAGACACATGAGTTGAAGGTTACAGGCATACTCCTTACTGGAAAAAACAAACAAAAGGTATAGTACCACCTCATTTAACTGCCATCTTTAGAGAGGGACAAACCTGTCGGCAGGTTTTTCAAATAATCGGAACATTACCCTTTGAGCATGCAGGTAACAGAAAAGTTACTCTTCATTTGAACTCTCTGTGAACTGGAATACCAGCTCTATGCTTACAAACATTTTTCAGCGATTACAACGATTAGCTATTTCCAATAAAAACTTATCAAACCAATTAAAATCATGGTTCCTTATAAATGGCTCTTTACAGTTCCAAGCATGACAGGGTCACCTCACCTGCCCCACTCCTGATTTGCCATGTTCTTCAAATCACTGTGCCTAATTTGTGGCTTCTGAGTTCAGACTCTGAGAGCTGAAGTGTTATAGTGTTTAATGTGAAATACTGAGATTTTCTGATCTTTCAACTTAGAGCACTTAGAGCATGTCCACCTAGAAATCAATTAGAGCAGGGATAGGAGCATAAGAACCATGACTCCAGTCACAGAATTGATTGGCAAGTGGGGAACAGAAAGACAGGGGGACAACCAAGCTGTCTTCTAATTCTGTCTTCCAGGAGCACTAGAGAAAAGAAGTACTTTAAAAAGACATCAACAATGTCCCTCAATTCTGAATCGTTTATATGTCTAACTACCTTGATATGTCTAGAGAATAGGTATTTGAGTGAAACAGAGAAAGGATGATTATTTTAAATTACTCTCTAATCAAATTGTAGTCTTTAGGGACCCAAATGTAGATTATTCTTCTTGCATTCATCTTTTGTATGCCTACCACATAAAAAGTACTCAAGAAATGTTTGATCAATGAACTCAATGATTAAAACTAATATAAACCCTGTTTAGTTTTTAATCATTATTAATAATTATTTTAAATCAACTACTATATTACAATACTCTTACTATTATGATTATGATGCTCTTAATAAAACACATCATCTTATATCTACAAAATCTTTACCTCTGTTATTCCTCTTTGTACGTCAAAGTGGAATTTGGATTAAAGCAGGAATATGACTCTAAACATGTTTTTTTCCTTAACCTCAAAACTGGATATAGGAACCCAAACCTTGGTCTTTATAAACATTCTGTTTCAAAATATATTACAAAGAATAAATGGAATTGAATGTCAAGAATGAGTAAGTGAAAGCTTTTACTCATCTGGTTTACAACTTATATCAGCTAATTTTTCTAAATTTAAGTTGATTAAATTTTTTTTGGTTGTTTCATTTCAAATGACCACACCAGAAGAGGGTTGTTTGTCATGGTTATTTATGCTTTTCCTTTCTGTTTTACCTTAAAAGAAATGTTTAAATTTAATAAATATGGAGTTGTTATAAACAGCAGCAAAAACAATTCCAATAAATTAAAATCAGTCATACATTT